TAGCCCTGTGATAGACTGGTTACCTGTCCAGGTGAACCTGCCTTCACCCTGAGTCAGCTGGGATAGACTCCAGACCCCCATGCTCCATGAGGAGGTGCAGATCCTCATCCTAGCTGTGGTCACCCCTCGGCTCTGGTCTGGCTTTAAAACGTTCCCACCATGGATCAGTAACAAAGGCATTGTCTGCTTCTCTGTGATTAAACCTGTGAGATGTTTTACAGACAGTAAACATTTGCTGTCAGTATAAATACATTTTGTTCCAAGTCACAGTAATATAATGTGCAGTTAGCTAAAGGACTGGTCACTACAAGTTTCTGTCTGGATCAGGAGTGAGCCTTTATTTATTAACACTCAGGGATTTAATGATTAAATAGTTATTTGTTTTTGAGCGCCACCTACATGAAACATTTCCCCCATCGTTATTCAGCTAATTGGTCTGTATTTGTGGAGACTGCGCATTTATTCTGAAGATACCCGACCGGAAGTGCTGTTTGTAGGTCAGCACGGCTCACTTGACGGCGGAGGCAGGAGACATGGACTACTATGAGACAGAAGAGGACTCGGCACTTGTAAGTAGTGACTTTAAAACAGCTACTGGGTGCGTTTTTATCACATTAAACACATCGTGCTGTTTGTGAAGAAGCTTTCTGAGGTTCTCTGAGGTTGTCGCGCGCACAGCGAGCTTTAGCTTCAACTGCAGCTTTCTCTGATTCCTCACAGACCACGTTCAACGTCGAGGAGGCGAAAGAAATCATCCGATCGGTGAGTAAAACACTAACAGTAATCATGCTTTTGGTTTATACCAGATTTTCCGGACTGGCTAGCAGCTTTGTGCTAGCGACCTGTTGCTAAGGACACTAACGGTTGCTAAGGAACTCCATCCAATCAGTTTAGTCCTACTGATTTATAGCAAACAGTGACTGAATTCATCTATAGTAAGTCATTGTTTTCTAATACACACGTGGTGACTGACAGCAGTGTATGCTGATCAGTGTGGACTGAACCAGAACCTGGTTTGATGTGCAGGCGGTGGAGGGAGTCGTTGGAGGAAACGTGTACCAGCACAGCAGAGTGAAGCAGTGGAACTCCAGCGTCATCGAGCAGTGCCTCAGTCAGCTGAACAAGCTGGGAAAGCCCTTCAAATACATCGGTATGTGGAGTAGTGTCTGTGGAGGTTCTCACTCCTCCAGGTCCTGGTTCTTCTGGTAGATTAATCGTAGCAACTGGACCTGCTTGAAGGTCAGCTCTGACTGACTAGCTGGGAGTTCCACATACTGATATCCTGAAGGAGCCATGAACACCTGAGTGGTTTGTTGCTCCTCCCCCTCTTTATGTGAGTCGTTAGTGCTCCTCCTGACACAGTGGGGTTCGTTAGAATCTCTGTGTCTAGGTGTGGATGTGGATTCATCTTCCTGGGGAGAGATCTGAGGACTGAGCTGTTTACAGCTGTTTACACATCCACACCTAGACAGAGACCCTAACGAACCCCACTGTGTCAGGAGGAGCACTAACTACCCACATAACGAGGGGGAGGAGCAACAAACCTCCAACTGAAACCCAAACTCAGGTGTTAACGTCTCCTTCAGGATATCAGTATGTGGAACTCCCAGCTAGTCAGTCAGAGCTGATGAAGCCTCTTGGATGAAGGTGGAACGTCTTCAAGGAACTCAAGCAGGTCCAGTTGATACCATTAAATATGAACATATGGCATATGTGGCGTAATGCCTCAGAAATAATGTACGGATGCTTCTTGAGACTTTAAGTGGATGTTAAAACACAATGTCTGTGTTCCTCCTAGTAAACTGCATCATCATGCAGAAGACCGGAGCAGGTCTGCAGACAGCCTGTGCCTGCTTCTGGGACAACTCCACCGACGGTAACACGTCTATGATTCTCCTGCACAATGCCTATGAGTGTATCTGAAGGTTTCATGACAGATTTGTGGCTGTAGAAGCTCAACAAGGGTTCAGAGTAGCAGAGGTTTGATCGGTAATGTTTTCTCTTTCTGTCTGAGAATCTGTGTCCGACTGAGGAAGGTACCGGTCCTGAACAGACACAGAATAAAAATACCAACACGGCATGCAGATGGTCTTCTGTTCTGGTTTAGAGGAAAAGTTTAATTTCTATAAATCAAAGAGTTAGATTTGACCATTTGTGAATCAGTTAACCTGAGGAGCTACTTCATGTTTCACATCACTGCTCTGGAAAATCTCTCCCATAACTCAGACTTGTGTTTATTTGCTTCATAACTACATAAAATGTTTTGAACACATGATCACAGTGTTATGAAAATCCTTCAGTGGAGTCCTAACTGCTCCAAATCAGCACAGAGTCGTCTCTCAAGTCAGAATAAAGTTTAACCTGCAGCAAGGAGCCACATGTGCAGCACTGAGTCTGAACTAGTGACTGACTAGAAGCATGAAGGGTTGGTTCTTATATACAGACAACAGGAGACAACCTCCTGCATGTGTAGGCTGATGTTCTGACCACCCACTGTCCTTATCTCACACTCACAAGGTGAAACAGAGGAATGGACATTTACAGGATTCTCACAAAGATCACTGGATCATAACAGAATTATTCTAACTCATAGGAACCTTTACTTCTGACAGAGAAATCGCTGCATCTCAAGAATATAAAGGCAGCGTCTAAGTCTTCTTCTTCTGTGGCTCAGAGAAAATGTAGAACATCTGGTTTGTATTTTTGATGCTCAGCAAAGAGTCAGATCTAGAAAATTATGTACAAATAGTTTTTCAGATGTTCAACTGGTGAAAAATTCTCCACCACTAAGTTAACCTGCACCTGATCAGACGATGATCAGAGCAGCACACAGACACGCCTTCGCTCTGCGGCCGTCGAAATCCACCTTCAAATGCATCTTTTGTTCCAAATGACTGTTACTGATGTGATCTCATGCTGTGCTCTGCTCCCTGCAGGATGCTGTGCGGTGAAATGGGAGAACGAGTCCATGCACTGTATCGTCAATGTGTTTGGAATGGCCATCTGAAGCTACAACGCCCAGCGTTTGCAGGAATTTCTCTTTTTTCACTTTCAGGACCCAGCGTGCAGAGTCTGACCGTGCTGGCTACGTCTGATTACAACGCTATGTTTGTTTGTTAAGTGCAATTAACTAAAACCCAACTACGCTGTATATACTTTGCTTTATTTACACGCCACATGAGACGGCTACATGTACAGCATTTATCTCATAAAGCAACAGAATCTGCAGATACTTTAAACATTTCAAAAGCAATCTCATTTCACCACCTTAAACCAACATCAGCTACATTCACACTGAAAGAATCGAACAGTTTAGCATTTACAAATGTGAAACTACAGCCCGGTTAGAAGAAACAGAGTGAAGACAAGGCACCGTCTTGATTAAAATACATGTTTGTAGAGAACAGAGATACAGTTGTTTTGGCTGTTGTTGTCCATGAGCTCCAGTTTTATAAAACAAAAGAAAGGACAGCGATTCCCTCACTGCCGGCAATCTGAGTGACCGCAAAAGAAAAATGAGGCATGCTGGGAAATGTTTAAGCTCAGTAGTTAAATAACATAAATTTGTGAGAAAATACATGCAGCTGATCAGAATCCATCCATCCATGTGTTCAGATCATCGTATCAAATGCTGTCACTTTTTGGCAAAATAAAAGTTCTTGAAAAGTGCAATTACAAAGCTTACAAAAAAAATAAAAAGAACTCGCAAAAGGACTGTTGACTACTTGGGTTAAGGCTCTCTCTGTATGTTCAAATGTGTGAGGACGATGGATTTATGAACTCGTACCCTGTTCAGGAGTGGTGTGAGCGGTGGACATCCAGGTCGTTGGTTCACCTGCAGCTGTTCCACTCTGAGCTTCTTCTACTTTCTACCATTCCTGTGCGTTACTCAGCTTTGGCCAGAAAAATGAGTTGTCATTATTCCCAGACTGTCAGAGAGCAGAAAGGAAGTGGCACAAACAACAACGAGTAGAGAAACAGTGGTTCAACATAAAAGCATTAAACATGATGATTCCACCAATAAATCCCAAGTTATCATGAGCACGCACCCCGAGAACTGTTTACTGTCAGGTTATGAAAAGAATAAATAAAAATTCTGGTTTACAAAACGGTAAATCCTGCAGTGGTTCACATCAGAGTTTGTTTCCTTTGTTTTTAATTAAGAAATCAAAAAAAGAGTGGCTACATACCTCACCTTTCAACAGTACAGTACATTCAGTAGACATGGAATTATCTTTTTAAAAATATATTTATGTACACTTCCAGTATATCGTTGTATGCGACCAATGCCAGTGCATCCTGTTTGCACACGATGGTTTGATGCAACAAGTTCTTCCGCCGTGGACACGGAGGAGGAGGAGGAGGACGGAGACACGTCAGTCGCTGTCTGTCTCATCCTGGTACTTGGCGGTTGCTTTGATGGCACGTCCGTTTTGTAAAGGCATGTCTTCGTAATCGCTCCTGTCGAACATGCAAGAACACATGGAGAGGTGTGTGTGTTTACGCTGTGTGTAATCTGCACAACTGGAACGAGGAGGAATCAGAAAGGCAACGAAGCGCCTACCCGTAGATCACTTCGTCATCCGAGTCGTTCAGCATGGAGAACGCTGGGTTATCTTTCAGCTGGGAGTCTGAGAAATGAAAAAAAAAACAAACATAAGAAGGTGGTTTCATTTATGAATTCAATAAACTGCAGCCACGAAGGTGTCTGGCTGTACGACGTACCGTACAGGGCGTTTTTGGAGGGAGAATACACAAACGCTAATGTGTACAAGTAGAAGTTGAGCAGGCCGTAGAAGGATAAAAATTCAGCTGGTATGTCTGGAATTAAGGAATAATTTCTCGCTATTTACGACAACAATAAGCCATGATACGATACCGCCAGAAGGCTGCTCAAAGGATATAGTTTTGGTAATGGGTGGACAGTTCAGCCACAAAGTTGTCTTGAAGAGCCTTGGCACCGAACCTCAGGTAGAGAATGACCATGCTGGAGGAGAGAAACCAAGATCAGAACAGGATCACATCAACCCGGCAGAAGGAAAACCAGAGTTTGCTTTTCCTCGAACGCACCTTATCACGAGGACGACAAACGTCAGCGCCGTCAGGAACTTCAGTCGGAGATCTGGTGATCAGACGGGCACAGTGCTTTAATACGGCCGCAGTGAAAACTTAAGCTGAACGAGATGCAGACAGGTGTGGCGCCGTACCTGAGTAAGGCATGTTCTTGAGTTCAGAACAAGCTCTGACGATCAGGAATATCAGGTAGAGGATGTAGAAGGCGACCACAATCAGGAAGAAGACCTTCATGCCCTGGAGAACGAACACAGGCCTTGATGAACCAAACACCAACACTGACCCTACCAGCTGGACCAGTATGACAGGACACACTACAGAATGGTATCTTTCTGGCATGTTTGCCTTCATCAGACAGGACAGTGTGAGACTGAGACAGGAAGGGGGGCAGACCTGCAGCAAACTGTCGTGAGCGGGAGTCGAACTGCGTCGGGGAACCACAGCCACCTTCATGGGTCACCTGCTCAACCAGGTGAGCTATAGGGGCGCCCCGTCATGTATTTTTAGCACAGTTTGCACGACTGTTGACTAGATGCATTAAAATAATTACGCCATTTGCTAACATGGCTAAAGTGGACTTGAATGATGGTGATGACGTTGCTGCTGTTCCTTCAACTCCAACTTCAGAAGAAGCTGCTGAAAGTTTCCCAAAGGGTCTCAAAAGCCTCACCTGAAAGTTGACTATGTCCACCTTGTACAGGTAGGTCGGATCCTGGAGTTCGTTAACCCTAAAAAAAAGTCAAACAAGCAGAGTGAATGTTTTCAGTCCAGTTAGAAGCTGAAACGAGCCGTTTGTGGCCAGAGGACACACTCACGTCTGCCATATGCCGAGTGTCACCGCTGAGAGCCACAGGAGGCCCACGATGACCAGCTTCGGCAGGTAGAACGTCAGGAATTTCCTCTCACCCTGCAACAAGAAACAAGATTCACAACAAGCCGAACACGGCAGGAAACCGTTCAAGCGTGAGGGCCGACGTTGAAGCGACCTGAACCCTGATGCCGTGGTAGACGCAGAGCCAGAAGAGCAGCAGGGAGCACAGGAAGAGAGCCTGGAAGAAAGCATCCAGCGTCCCCGGAAACCAGCTGTTCACCAGGAACGACAGCGGGAAGAACGGATCTGGACAACGACAGAGATAAAAACAACAAGCTGCTTACTCAGCGCTCAGTTCTACCTGCAACACAAACCCCTCCTCCCCACACAAACAGCACAGCCACGTCTTTGGTGGAGTACGACGCCGCTATAACGTCATAAATCAGAAAGGACAAGTTCGTTTTCCTTCATTATCTATTTTACAAAAAACCTTGAATCATGGACAACATTCTTCCACATGTCCACAGGTGGTACCGGTACTGGAAAAAACAGGGTTTCTACGTACTGGTGATGTTTTACTGCTGATATCTTTTACTTGTTTCCATACTTGTGTCCTCTCTGCTGTGTATGAACAACACCTGCAGCTCAACTGAACCACCAGCAGAGTTTCTGTCACGCTCTCAGCCTCTTGGTTAATTTCCTTGATGAAGCTGAACGTCAAGCACGATAGTTTGAAGGACCATCTGAGTCAATAACATGTGAATCAAAGCCAACAGCAGGTTTTAGGAGTCGGAGGGTTCACTGGAAGCTAATGTTGTGTGATGAGCCCGTTTTAATTTAGTCATTTATAAATGTTCAGTTAGGTTGGTGCAACCAGCTGTCGAGGGTGAATTAAAGGTAAAACAGGCTTCTTGAGAAAGAGAAGACTCTCACCATTGTAGAGCAACAGCAAAGGCAGCAGAATGGACATCCACTTCTGTTCTATACCCCAGTCCCTCATGGAAAACTTCCTCAGCGAATGAGCAAACATACACTGCAAACACACACAGAAAAGAAGATGAACAGTTCATCCTACATTCAGAAGAAGTCCGTTTAAATGTCATCTTTTGTTCACACTTTGGTCGAAGCGTGCAAAGTGGGCTGGAATAAATGTCTAAGGGCTGAAAAGCAAAGCGTGCTCCTACCGTCACCATGAAGGTCAGCACCACAAAGACGAACCGGAACCAGATCTCCACTTGAGAGAACGTCGGATTATATGTTTTCCACTGAGGAGGAAGTAAACAAAGACAACAAACACACTGAGTGGCCTGTGAGCAGCGACAGAGAAAGAACCAGGGACTCATCGGTTTCACTTACCACAAACTTAACCTTAATGTCATACGTGATGTTTTCGAAGCTGACGGAGACCTGATACTGGGTGTAGTTCAGGTAGCCCAGATGCAGCACAATGATCTCGTCACATTTCTGTAAGACGAGACAAACAAACCCCGGTTCAGTCAACACGCTGCTCGCTGGATCATCAGCGTCTGTCTGACACCGTGTTCACATTTAATCCTGTTCTCATCTCTGCACTGCAGCCTGAATCACATGCTGCTGCTGATAACTTGTCTGATAGCACTGACTCACACTCACCGCCCCGCAGTGGAGAATCCGTGATTTCTGCACTTTGTTGATGTGCATCACGCTGGCGTCCTGCATCACTCCTTTTAGCTCAACGTTGATTTCAAATGGCTGCTGGAAGTCTCCCTCTGAATCAGACAGCAGCAGTGGTTGTTATTAGGTGGGTTTACAAAATAACGTTTGTTTTTAATGAAAAAATAAAAGCTAAATGACATAAAACCAGCCTCGACATTCAGCCGTCATGGACCATGTTTACATGCACGCTATTGGTCTGAATACGACAACATTCCTGGATGGATAATTATGTAAACGGCATTTTCTGTTTGGAGGATTAAGCTGCAAGGTGGAGCAGTGGTTAGCATCATGGATGGATGGATGGATGGATGGATGGATGCCCAAAATCCCAACTGTCTGGCCAGGAGAAAAAACACACCTACAAGCCTTTAAGGGCTTTAAAATGAACAAGTTTTGGAATAACATACCACAACAGCAACCTTTTTAGGAGGATGGTGAAAGGAAGGAAAGAGGAACGCTGTGTTTGCACAAACAAGGTGCTAAAAATGCTCCGGTGATGCGATGAACCAGTTATTACAGCCACAGCCGTTCAGTTTCTACATTTGTCTGATAAAAGACTTCTTCTTCACGCTGACTGGATGATGCACAGCCACACGTGAACTGGAATATCATCCACGTAAACAGCTTCGTAGGAATGTTGTCTTTTCCAGAACATGCATGCATGTATGTAATACTTTGTGCATGTAAACATGGTGAACAGCTGATTGTGTGTACTCACTGTGGCTGTTCTGAGCTTGCATCACACAGGTGAGCCACAGCTGCTGGTTGTAGGTGGTGAGAGGAGGAGACACTAAATTGAAGGGTCCCGTCTGAAAACATACAATAAAGAACATGATCACGTTGGTGGAAGTAAAAATGATAATTACTGTCAAATAAGACATTCTCTGCTCTTTACAAACAACACATTTAAACTCCAGATGATTGAAGAAGTGTGTTGAAGTTTAACAGAGGAGTCGTGCTCAAATATCACTCAAACATCAGGTTTTGAACACAAGTGTGCAAAAAACTGACAAAACACAAATTTTTTTGTCTCAGAAACTTCTTACCTTCACGGAAAAATTCTTTACAAGCAACAGATCACCATCGTGCTCGTATTCAGCAATAATTTTAGGACCTACAAAAATGAACAAAAAACATTTTTTGCAATAAAAAATTGACCCTGAAGGAAGACGGATCCAAACATCTTAATACTGGGACGACTGAAATGAACGTGTCTGCGCTCCTGTTTAACAAAAACTGTTCAAATCTGCACAGTTCACCTGAATATGAATATTTTCCTCTTCGTTTATCAGCTGGATGCTGAAGTCAAGTTAGGAAGACAACTTAATGAAACGAAACATCTTTTAACTGAAGATTAATCACTTATCATCACATCTGACTCAACAAACGGCTCAAAGTCTGGAGAGGACGTGAAACAGGAAACGTCCAGAGACCAGAGAGAAAAATAAAATGAAAAGCTTAAAGTTAACTGGACTGTAGAAGAGTGAAGGGACTGAATGTTGCAGTGTATTTAAGAAGGTCCACAAAAACGGCTGGGAAATATGGAACTATGTATTAAACTATCTACTGAACTAAGTATTAAACTATCTACTGAACTATGTATTAAACTATCTACTGAACTATGTATATCTGTTGAGCTAACTTGCTGTTTATCAGGCGCTCTGCTATCAGAGCAGCTGACATCAACATCCTGAATGACTCACTCAGCTCCTCTTTATCTCAAAGTCTCACTAAGCTTCCATTTAAACACATATACAGCATTTTAAAGACCTCGGCTGACACTGGAGTGTCAAAGCACCTGTGAAACGGCATTCTGTGGATACTTAGATTAGATAGAACATTATTGATCCCTTTGGTGGGTACCTCAGGGAAACTGTTGTTCTAGAAACAGCACAACGACGTCTATCTGAGTCACAGTGACAGACAGAAGGAGGGAGCGATCATACAGAACCATAGTTCTGATGTTATGAGCATGAAACTGTTTATTATACAACACTGGACTCTGTCAGTTACACAAGGTCCAAACTGTAAATTCAACATGAGAATGAGTCACTTAGATACATATCATTTTGAATCATGAGTAATATTCTCATATCCATCCATCATCTATACGTTACTTAATCCTCACTAGGGTCATGGGGGGCGGAGCCTATCCCAGCTGACTCAGGGTGAAGGCAGGTTCACCTGGACAGGTAACCAGTCTATCACAGGGCTACACTTAGAGACAGACAACCAAGCACACTCACATTCACACCTACGGACAATTTACAATCACCAATTAACCTCAGCATGTTTCTGGACTGTGGGAGGAAGCCGGAGAACCCGGAGAGAACCCACGCTGCACGGGGAGAACATGGAGACTCCACGCAGGAAGATCCCGGGTGTCCTCACCGGGACGCCAACCGGCGACCTTCTAGCTGTGAGGCCACGGTGCTAACCACTGAGACACCGTACAGCCCCATCCCTAGATTATTATATATGAAACAGTCTCTTCTCATAGTAAAATGCCAGGATATAGTAAATAATACGTATTGATAAGCTGACTTATCTCAGTATAACATGCTTATAATCTTGATATAACAATTCAAAATAATGAGATAAAACTCGAGGTAAAGGTATTTCCACACAGTAATCAGCTTGAGCCACTGCTTCAGTTGTTTGATCGTCTGTACCTGCAATCCCAATGAAGACTGTGAGGCCGAAGCAGATCAGAAAGACCACAAAGACCAGGACGAAGTGTCTTTTCGACAGGGTGTAGAGCCGCATGGGGGCCAGCCTGCCACGGGAGAGAGGCATCAGGGTTAGCATACACAAGCTAATGGCTACAGGCACAATAAGTCAGTAGAAGCAGAACAAACTGTGTGGGTGGAGCTTATTTAGCGGTCACTGCTGCTCGCCCACCGCCTCAGCTTCAGGTATGTCAACACTGCTAGCCTCCGAGCTACTTCATGCTAGCAGTGACAGATGTTAAGGTTTCAGGACGTGTCCTGACAAATGTGAGCGCGGCTGTTACGTCTCCAGTGTGTCCGCCGAACAGTTCTCACACTTACAGCTCCATTTCTCACGGTTCGCAGCCCCGCTGGCGAGAAAAAAGCGTAAAAATGTTCGCAGTGGATCCACATCCGTGTATCAACATCAGCCTGCGACAACGGGAAGTGCTACGTCACCGAGTGGGAGGGGCCGGGATCACGTGACGCCAACGAAGCAGAAAGGGGGCTTATAGATGGAGAAGGAGGCAAAGTAGGATCCTTCTATCCGTCCTAGTTCCCTCCTCTGTGTCTGTACGTGTCTGTCTGCTGCACAGGCCGCCTCAGTGGCTCTACGTTTGGTCGACACGTCCCAGCGGAGGCCGAGGATCATCTTTTAATGGCCAGAACACACTGACAGTAAACCGTTATCTATATATATATATGGAAAGCCAGAGGTGCCACAATCAGCCTCTGTTTGTACATGATTCAAATCTAAAGTCAAGCTTTGATGGCATAGAAAGCGTTAAACGTGCCCTCTGACCACACCACTGCCTCCTACACCATCAACATCCAAAGAAAGGAGCACTTTTTATGTTTCTCTGTTTACAGGCCTGTTAGAAATGAGCACCGATAACAAGCAGGACAGCTGCTAACAGCCACAGTCTACTGGGAGGATACTTCTTACAGTGTCCACAACCTGTTTACAATGTCAGGGTTTTTTCTTCTTCTTTTTAAATAACAAGCCCGTCAGTCAGTTTTGCACAGTCAAAAAATGAAACGTATCCGTAACCAGTGGGTGACGAGCAAACCCAGACCACAGCTATCCATCAGTGAAAATGTTTAGCAATGAATCTTTGTCATCTTTGTTTTACTGGATTTAGAGGAATAAATATGAATGTATGTGAGGATGTTGTCTCCTTGCCTGCCCTCGGTGCCTAATGTGTGTTAATGATCGTGGATATACTGGGTTGGTGCCTACAGTCATTAGATGGCTACTGGTATTTATTTGCTGTAGCTGACTGTGAGTTGTACAGTTTGCATGAAGCCAAAGCACCTGTATGAACCCTGGTCAGGACCTCCATGGTGCCAGATGTAGAAGGTCTGTCAGGGGCCACATAATAGACTTTTAAATTATGTTAAATACATGTTCTGATAAGTTGATGCATCTTTGGTTCCAAATGCGTGACACATGTCCCTCTTTTTATGTTTAAAAACAACACCTGTCACCTAAAGCAAATGGCCTGGGCTCCAAAAGACCCCAAAAGTCCTGAACAGGGTTCATCAGTTGAATTTATTTTCTAGATGTAACTGTACTGGACTCCATAAGAACCGGTGGAGCTGATGCTAATAACCAGCACTCTGCCTGCTTCTGACACCGTAAAAAGCAACGTGCAGACTGAGGTGAACTGTGACACTCTCCACATTCACCCAACAGCGAAACGTCAACAGGGTAAAAAAAAAAGTTTTGCACATGCGCAGGAGATTGAGACCTGTGTCAATTTGATTTGTACACAAGCTTTGCAAATGACAGCCTGTTGTTTCCTTTTTATCTTTGTCTTTCTTTCTTTTTACGTTTATAAAGTCAAAATGACGATTTTTAAATGAGGTATGTAGCATTTAACCACCATCAAATAATACTAATAATAATAATAATAATAATAATAATAACTCCCCCGTCACAAGGCAGCACTTGTTGCCTTTGAGAGAAACCAAGAGGCCTCGTCTGAACGGTGTCTTTATCATATCACACAAATAAAACAACTGGAGAAGAAAAGAGCAGAGAAGCAGCAGCTGTTCTGTTCTTTCCCATTTTGTCCTGAAACGCTGCTGATGGTTTCTCTTTAGTGGCATCATCTGAACCACCAAGCAAGAGAATACTATCGATTGATATGTTTGTTTCTAATCGATATCACCACACAGAAGGTTCATAACATCAGAGAATGGTTCTGCTTTCACTCGCAGATGGAGGATTCTGATCCAGAGCGACCAGCACCAGAACCAGACCAGAGCAGTTCACCGTCACCAGACTCACAGACACCCACCGATAGAAGCGATCATCTCGGTACGGTGTCAGGTCCTCCTTCAGCTCGTTGTAGGCCTCCTGGATCTTCCTGCAGAAGTACTTGAGCTCGCTGTACAGCGGGTTCTCCAAGCCGGACGGGTAGTCGGTGTCCATCGCCGCTCCGACCGTCTGGCGGCTGAAAATGGCGATGAGAGGAGACAATCCGCGGCCCGCACACAACAACACGCAGACCTGCCGGATTGTCCGTCGCTTTATTAAAAGTGCAGCCGAAGCTGTTTTATTTGTGTCTGTTCAAAGAAAGAAAGAGAGAGAGAGGAAAAGGGCTGCTGGAGCGGAGGGGGGCGGAACCACAGAGGCACGGCAGGAGGGTCACGTGATGCGGGTTCAGCACCGCGGACAGAGGCTCTGATCCACCAACACTAAACATGATCTATATGTATAGAACATACATGACATGAGGACACACAGCGGCTGACCTGCAGCACCAGAACACCTGCAGCCAGGAGCAGGTGTCTCCATCACGTCACATGAAGAGCTGTTGTTCAGAGAAGTGACCCAACTCAGGTCCGCTCAGCTGCACACAGCGCCTTCATGTTGGCACCAGTCTATGGGTGACTCATGCTCTTCATTAATAACATATGAATAATAAAGGATGTATTAATGAAGAGCTATCTGTCAGCTCCACCCATCATACAGTCAACACCACACACATGTTCAGACATGATCACCAGTGGGTTGGTTGATGTAATGATACTGATACCTGCATCAGCTTGTTAGTGTGCATAACCTAAAGATTTAAATAACATCTGCTCACATGTACAGCTGCAGCTGAATAAATCTGATCTCTGTTCGCTGAGAACCCTGTTTTTCAATTTGATGCAGGTGTTGATGAGAATGTTTTTACCATTATTTAGAGCTTTTGTTTCCATAAAGGTATCGGGACTCACTTCTGTGTCCCAACTGTAAAACTCTGAGGGCCTGTGTAGTTTAAATGCCCCTCAGGGCTGAATCCATGATTTGATTATCTACACCTCAGGCCTCAGGCGTGGCACTGACACCTACACGGAGGAAAGACAGGGAGTCTCTGTAATTTAAATAGTTATCAGGATCTTCAAAACAGAGGACTTTGCTTCCCTGCGTGATGTGTGAGGGCTTTAAACTGGTGATGCACGAGATTAAAATTTCTAAATACCGATATTAACATTTCTCATATCACCAATAACCAATATTACTGATGTCGATATTCACTTTTTGTTCACACCGAAAAATGAGCATAAGTCAGCACTGTGAGGATGTGAAAACTATTCAACAGACGCCCGATTAGACCACATGGTCTTCTTTATTACAAAAGTCAGCTCAGCAGCTGTTGTCTTAGTTTAAATCTATAAAAACATGATCTTGACTATTTTGTCTTGTTTATGTCTAAAGTTATTATAATAAAACACTGTCATAGTACATCATATATACAGGTACAGTTTCTGAACTACGTCAGGAAAAGGATCACGATTTTGAAAGTCCAAACTCTAAGGTGATGTTCTTTTCCACAATGTTTAGAAGTGACCTGTCCACAGCAGAACAGGCCCGCTCACATGAACGTCGGCTGTTTACGGGTGTCAGGTCCAGTTGGCTTTAGAACATCTAGACGACAGAACCAGCTCATGTAAACTCACAGATGGCAAAAGTACTCACATTCTTTACTGAAGAAGAGATACTTGTGTAAAAACAGACTGTGGTAAAAGTAGAAGTACTGATTCAACTCCGTTACTCGAGTAAAAGTAAAAATGTCCAGGTTCAGAAACTTACTTAAGTACAAAAGTAAAAAGTAAAAATGAACTTTTAGCTTCGATGAGGCGTGATGCCTCTTTTGAACTCTGCAAAATGAAAAAAAGTTCTAAGCACACAAACCAGGACTGTTTTGATCCTTGAAGAAGCTGCACAGAGCTGCTACAGAGGAACACATCACTGGACAGTTTTCTGTTTCAGCAGCATGATGAACATTAAACATTATCATCAACATGGAAACACTCGTCTCTTCAACACTCCCAACATCTGTTACTGAGCCTCAGCAGAAGCTGGTTCTGAGTTCTCTGGATGGAGACGGGCCCTTTTGGGTCTGAACATCAGTGCTAGACAGCCTCTGGCAGGCAGCTGAGGCAGGCAGGGCTGTGCTGAGCTTCAGACGTCTGTTGTTAAGTTTTTTACGTCGTGTCGTCATCCACGGAGGATGAAAGAAGTAACGAGCCAGTTTGGAGAACGTAAGGAGCAGAAAGTCCAGATATTTGTGTTCAGATGTAGGGAGTCAAAGTAGAAAGTCGTCAGAAAAATGAATCGTCAAGTAAAGTACAGACATCTGCAGAATGTACTGAAGTACAGTAACCAAGTATTTGTACTTCATTACTTCCCATCTCTGTGTAAACTCCAGTCTAACAACTGGCCCGGTCTGAACCGGACCGGTCTGAACCGGACCATCTCTGGATGTATTCAGGAGACAAAACACTGTTTGTTTTTGTTTTTTTCTGAAACAATGACATTTTATTCAAAAGATGCGTGACATATACAATTATAAAATAATTTACATGGCATGCCTTACTATCCATTCACTATAAACGTTCAGTCACCAAATCAGACTCAGGTTGGTTTTTTTTTTTCAAGGGTTTTTGTCATTTAGGTCTACATCTACAAATACAAAGCACATACCTTCTCTAAAGAAAAGCCAGATCCTACAGTATCTACAACAGGTCATCATCAGTTTAAAGTGAGTCCTCAACCAAGTCCATAGGCAATGCTGAACATGAACTCAGTGGCTTACACTAGTGAACTCCTGTGAGCGGTGTGTGTGTGTGTGTGTGTGTGTGTGTGTGTGTGTGTGTGTGTGTGAGAAGCCATGACCACATACGTTTGAAGATAATAGATTTAACACTGATGGGATTGGTAGACTGCACAGCTGAATACAGACACACCTTGACTTGACAGGAACACTCTACACAACTAGTTTACCAACTACATTAAACTGGGCACTTACTCATTCACATCGTTTCCATCCAATGCAAACTTCACAAAACACTGAAAATTTGCCTGTCCCCAGTCCCCCCGACCCAAACCCCACATTCCCATCTCACAACTTGGGCTACAAACTCTTATCAACACAAAGAAATGTTCTGAAAACTCCACAATATACAGTATGTATAGATATCTCATCTTCTTTAGGAAATAATCTCATAAATAAAGTGTACAGACCATCAACGGAGATGCTGAACTAAAGAACGGTATCAAACTGGTCAAAGCGATGACAAAGGACTTTTTTTTCCCCTCAGAAAATATTGCACAACTAACACAAAAAAGATGAGTATTTCTTTATGACATGCTCATGTTCTTTTCATTTCCAGGAGTGAAGAGACCTCCCCGTCCTACAGCCCCTCAGTAACAACACATGCATCGTGTAATATGGAAAGATCACATCAAAAAACGCAAGAATCTCATCAGTCCAGAGACCAAACCAGAGCCGGTCCAAAGGGAGAGCTCGACAGCGCTGCATTTCTCTCCAGGCCCGTTTATTTCAGCTTTAAGTTTTAGCAGGTTTTGGCACCAACGTTTGAGGTGATTCTAATCGCACCAGTTCGGTTTCATTACGCCTAAACGTGACTGCTCTTTGTACTGAGTTTGGCTTCCATCTGATACAGAAACTACTGCAGGCATTTGCAATGGGCCTAATAATTTACTACCTCCACCATCCTGCCAGCTCTGTGTCCACGAGCTTCACCGCCTCAAACAAACAAACAAACAAACAAACAAAAAGAAACCAGCTTTTCAGATTTCAGAGTCAGCTTCCTGAACAGACAGGTTTCAACAGCTTCATTCTTCACTGGAGTTCTGACTTCAAAGATTCAGTGACAACGATTTCAGCTCCACCGTTCTCATTTGTTATTTGTCAACCGAACAGTACTACAGCGTCGCTCCACACCTGAAATTACACTTAAAACACAGCGGAGACAGGCGTCAACAGAACTCTGTCCAGGTCACCCAAGTCTCTTCACAACATTTACAGACGACTGATACGTATTTACACGACTTCTGAAAAGAGTATGAAATGGCATAGGTGAAATATACAAAAATATTTCCTGTACCTTGCTTACATGTTCAGTGTGGTCTCTGAGAGCAGGGACAGCCCCGCCAACGACACGCTCACTTCACAGAAGTGACAGCAGGAGACTCATCACTTCATGCCAGAGGTTTTCAGTCGAGGCCTTGGCGACTTCTTTGGCGCCATGTCACCATATGTAGAGAATAAACTAAGTACAGGATACGTTAGCCAAAGCTAGTCTGTACGCCGCCCCCACCTGAAGTCTCCAAACTACACAGCAATGTTCAAATTCAGTCTCCCAAATAAAGCAGGTGAGAAAACGTGATGACAGGGTGTGAGGATTGTATATCACAAACAATGACAATAATGTTAAAATTCATATCTGACCAGAGAAACAACAACATGTACATATAAATTAATCCATGTAGCAGAGGAACATTTCTTCTTCCTTCAAAGTCCCATGTGGAAAAAAAGACTGCAGTTCACCTCAGCTATGTTCAGTCTTCTACCGTCCCAACAGTGGCACAACTTTCACAACAGTGAACAGTCTGAACTCTTAGTAGTGCTCCTAAATGATGCATATATCTAAGCTTCAATTCCAGCCGAGATAGACTGAGATGGTAATAAAAGGAATGGCAGAGAGCAAAAACAAAAAGACCCTCCTACCCTCCACCATGACGAGTCATTTAATAAAATCCTAAAAGCAAAAGCAGTATAATAAAGTGGTAACTGTTTCACTAAAGGTTTGTACAGCAATGGATTTCAGTGCCCAGTAGTACCTGTGCGCTCTGGGAGAAATAACTTTGATCTCCAGAGTGTGGTTTTCAAGTATTACTGCTGCTTCTTTTGAAAACTGCACCTTGACAATCCCTCTCTTAGGTAACCTGTTGGTTATCACGTCTATAAGCTTCTTCTAGCTAAAGCAGCATTTATTTGCATGATTACCAAAGCTCAGCTCTTTGGCCCTATACGCACTGCAGGGTGCCGCCGCCGACTGCCAAACGGAGCAGATCTGACAGCATCCTTTACAAATGCAGTCAATGCTTATTGCACCAACTCTAGTGGCAGCATTGTGTAGTGCAGCGTGATTGTATTACTCTTTATAGCCAGGGCTGATTTTAGTCTTCTCTCCAAAATCCTCTGCAAGAGTTTATTAATCACAAAAGAAACAGCTGTGCCCCTTCAACAGATTGCATTTTAATCCCAGATAGAACTCGGGGTAAGTAGTGAGGGAAACATCTCATTTGAGGCGTTGAGTGACGTTGGCCAAAGCCACTGCAAAGGCCTGGACAGCAGAGAAGGGATACTGGAAGTCGAGGATGTAGGCGTTGCCATCAATCCTGCCAAACTGCATCACCTATGGAAACGACACAAACCAGAACGACTGGGTAAGAAGGCGCTACCAGAACATCAGAAACACACTTCAAATGATCCCTCATACTTGTAAAGGTCACTCAGTAGGACTACCTGAATCATCTTACCTGTCTGCCCTCCAGTTCAATCTGAAAGTTCTTGGCAGACTCCTGTGTGACTCGTCCACCAAAGTCCAGCTGGTAGACCTGCGTGGCTTCGTTCCACAGCGGCTGCTTGTTGGCCATGACGTACACAAAGCCCTGGCTGCCCAGCCCTCGGTCCTCCTTCTCGTTAGCTTTCCGACACTTGATCTCATCCAGCTCGCAGGCAGCTCTCAGGTTCCTCTTACTCTTCCAGCCCTTCTTACCGCTCTGGCACTGATTGAGGAGTTCATCCCCGCTGATGAACAGCTCCGGCTCACTTTCTGAACTATCCTGGAACTCACTGTTGGCAGTGGCCTTACTCATCTTTTTAGTCTTCAACTGCTGCTCTTTCTGCCCCTTTAGCTTCTTCTTGTCCCTCCCTCCCAGCCGTGGACTTGAGATGAGTGAGTTGAAATCACCCAGAGCTCTGCCCTCCTTCTTTGACTTGCTCCCCTCAGCCAGCGGCGGCACGTTGGCCTCCTCAGCTCGACCGTCCACCCGCTTGCGGTTCTTCTTGCTGAACTTCTCAGACCGCTGTGGCACAGGGCTCTCAGTCAAGGAGAGCACCTCCTGAAAACCTTCTCCAGCCTCTGCCATGGCCTCTTGTAGTCCTCCGTGGCTCTGCAGTTCTGCTGGTGGTGGAGGAGGGGGTGGAGGAGGAGGAGGAGGTGGCGACAGAACGTTTTTGTCCGCTGCCAGGTGGGAGGCTTTGGGTGGTAATGGCACTGCAGGACTGGGCATAGGCGGGCAGGAGTTATAGGTACCCCAAGGTGTGTGGAGGGCAATGGGAGGAATAGGAAGCCCGGCACAAGCACTTCCTCCTGGATACATGGGTGGGAGGGGGCAGCAGGCAAGGTTGGCAAGGTTGGCAGAGTAGCCTGGTGGCAACACAAGAGTTGCATCCTGCTGTGAGAAGGGCACTGGTGCCACTACCTCCTTTGGGGACGAACAGGGGCGCGGTGACCCTGGGATGGGTTGGAGCTGGGCTCCAGAGTAGACCGTTGCAGGGGGGTACTGAAGAGAGATTTGGTAGCCTGTAGCTGCTGCAGCAGCTTGGAATGATGCAGCACTGGGGCTGGTGGGGGACTTTGGAGAAAGGACAAAAGGCAGCCTGGTTACATCCAAGTGCTGGGCTGGACTAAGAATAAGCGGAGGCGGTTTGTGTGGTCCAGGAGGGCCAGTGGAGTTTAAAGTTGCTGTCCGTTCCTGAGGAACCCACACCTCCTCTGTGGCAGCTGGATCCCACTGATAAGGAGGCGGGCGTTTGACAACCAGCCCTGAAGCATCATTTCCACCGAGTGCCAGATGCCTCAATGACTGGTTCAGAGTTTCATCCTCAGTGAATGCTGAATTAACGTAATCAGCCCTGTCTCTGTTACCTCCACCTCCTGCTGTGGTCCCAGATCCTTCAAGTGAACTCATCAGGCTGTAGGAGGACTGGGAGGCCAGAGGAGTAGCACTGTTGGAGTGAACAATAACTGTGCTGTGTGGTGCACCATTCCCTGGAGGGAAATCCTGTCTGATAATAGTTCCTCCTGCGATTCCATTTGCACTCCCTGGGGCAGTGCCTCCAACATTAGACCCACTGCTACACTGACTGCAGGTGTATAAGGCCGTTGGCACCCTCTGCTGGAACGAGGCTGCTAGTGCACTACTGTTTTTAGCCTTGGGAGGCAGTGGTCGAGGCGGTTCCAGCATCTGAGAAACTTTGAGTGCGGCCTCTCGACTGTTCCTCCTGAGAGTGGCGTGGATCAGACTGCTGTCAAGCCTCTGTCCAGGGTTTCTTCCAACAGTACTGTTCTGATTGGCTGGGTCGGGGTATGGAGGAGGGTCTCCACTAGGTATGGAATAGCGAGGTGCAGTGAGTCTGTTGAGAGTAGCGGAGGTGTAGGGCAGCTGGATCTTCTTGTCAGCTGCAGCAGACGATGAAGAGGAGGTGACCCTGAGAGTGGCGGAGCTGCCAGGTCCCTGGAGTGTGTACACATTCTGATTGCAGACAAGGCGTGTTCGAGGACGACATACTTCTTCCACATTCCCACTGCTGTCAAATGTCGTTATCCTCTCGTAGCCCAGTGGTGTGGGGTACTGCGCTTGTTGTTGACCTGAAGGATAAAGCTGGAACTCTCCCTTCTTCAGACAAAGGTCACCAGGGGGAGGAGTTCCAGCGGCGGCCCCTCCGGCTGCAGATGCAGCACTGGAAGCTGCAGTGGACGCCGATGCTGAGGCAGCAGCAGCTGCAGCGGCAGCCACAGCAGCAGCCACTGTTCCGGGGTAGGGAGGCGGGGGGTTCATCTTGCTGAGCTCCAGAGGGGCACTGAACACCACTGTGTCACCCTCAGCCAGCTGCGGAGTTGACCGAGTGGTTTTGATCTTCAGTAGGTGCTCATGTTCAACCCCCACTGCTCTTTCAACCACTAAATCAGCGGGTGGGTGAGGAATCTGGATCTGCAGCGCCCCCGGCTGTAGCTGGTGCAGAGTGGCGCCTGAAGGCTGTCCTGATGACATGGAGGAAACAGGGATCTGAATTTGAAGCTGCTGCTGAAGCTGATGGTGGTGCTGCTGTTGCTGCATCTGATGTTGCTGCTGCTGCTGCTGAGACTGCAGTTGATGATGCATTTGTTGCTGTTGCTGCAGATGCTGCTGAATTTGTTGATGCTGTTGCTGTAGTTGTTGCTGTTGCTGTATGTGTATGTGCTGCTGGAGTTGCTGTTGATGCTGCTGCTGCTGTATGTGTTGGAGCTGCTGCTGAATGTGCTGCTGCTGAAGCTGCTGCTGCTGCTGTAGGTGTTGGTGCTGGAGCATGTGCTGCTGTTGGAGCTGCTGTTGCTGCTGAAGCTGCTGCTGTTGCTGAAGCTGCTGTTGGTGGTGCTGAATTTGTTGGTGATGTTGTAGCAGTTGTTGTTGTTGTTGTTGCTGCTGTTGTTGTTGTTGATGTTGTTGTTGATGTTGTTGATGTTGACTCGGTTGTTGCTGTTGTTGTTGTGAAGGATGATGAGAAGGTGGAGGTCCGACCATCAGGCGACCTACTTCCAGTCCCCCAAAAATGACCTGACCAGGACTGGAGTACCTGGTGGGGACTGTGTACTGGGCTGTGAGGATCGTGTCCTGGCTTTGGTCTGACCCACCAGCAGCTGCTCCAGCAGGGGTTGCTGAGGGATTGGTTAGGACATCTAGCTGAACATTCTGATTGGCTAGAAGTGACTGGACCAGACCAATGCTTTGCGCCGGGGACATGGCCTGGGCGGGACTATGTATGGGGGCAATAGGGATGTTGACAGTGCAGGGCGGGTTGTCATCGGCACCACCAGCAGGGCCTGTGACAGGCAGGTCATCTTCATCCTCACTGAAAACATTGGGGCTAAACACAGGGAGGTTAATGTAGTCCATGGAGATCTTGCGGACCTCTGGCAGGTAGATGGTCATCTGTCTGGGCTGCAGATGGAGGAGGCTTGTCTTGTAGATGACTGAGAGAGTGCAGAACAGGGCGACAACAACAAAAAGAAGCATACAAACAATAGGTAAGGTAGTTGAATTGACAGGGCATTATTTTGTCATTTGTAAATGTATTAAGTAAAGCTGCCACTCGGAGTAAGCATAAGCAGTTATACTTTTAACTAATGCATGTTTTTTAAAACTTCAATACAATAATTGTTCAACTTCACCATCACTATATAATAGCTGCTACACGACGGCAGTCATTTGGCTTAAGTCAATGCTGCACTTTTAGACAACGGAGTACTTCCAGTCATCACAGAACAAAGAAGAGGTTTGGACACTGTGGATGATCTCTAGTGCAATGCATGAACACCTGAAGAGAGAACACACAGGTGCTCTATGGAGCAGAGATCCTTCACATCTGTTTGCTTCTCCCTTGCTCTCTGTGCTCACTACATACACTATGTTAATACAGCCAACTTCCAACAAAGCTGTTCTCATTTACGTATTTTTCTGTTTGTGTTGTCAGACAACGGAGCAAATAGAGACTGAAGTGAAACCGTTAGGACTCCATGATAATCAGCAGGTAGCCAAGCTGCTGCTCTGCACTGCTAAGATCTTAGTTTAATTAGTGACAATGATGTCTGACAAACTCACCCTGCATGAGGGAAAGGTACCAGCTGTGCTGAGAATTCAGAAACACTTTCATAAAACTAGAAGCTATTATCAATGTCAGAGAACAGTTAGCACACAGGGAGAGAAGGAGCTGCGTTCGATGGTCTGTCCACCACGTTGCACTTTGTTCATTATACAGACTTTTTCACTTTGTTAAGGGGTTTAGTAGAAACCTGGACTTCTTTTGGCATTGCACTACTGCCTTAAATAAAAAGCTAGTGTCATCCTACAGCTTTAATCAGTAACTCCTTGTTTACGTATTGTTCTGCGCTGCATTATAGAATGACATACAGTTCTCTGAAAGTAAAATGAACCTAAATGAAATGACAATTTTGCATTTTTCTTTAAAACAGTTGATACAGCATTCAACAGAAAATAGTCACCAGTGGCAGCTCTACCAGTACGTACAATCTGCCATAAGACAGAGCTAAGTTACCTGCACCAAGATTGGTTGGCAAGAACGTGGCCAGCCCCACGATCTTAAACTTTGTTCCCCAAATATTGGATGTGACCTGAGCAAGGTAATTTTGCTGCAAGACAGGAACAAAGAAAGTAATGAATGTATATCAATACAAACTGTGCATTTATAACTATAAACATATATATTAGATGTAAAATGAGCTCCAGGGTGCCTGGAGACATGTCCACATGGAGACACATACACCCTCAGCAGCTTCTCACTCGGCTCAAGTAAAACGACGTTTACCTGAGTGATGTCATCTAGAGGAAATTCCCTCCGTGTTAGACTGGGTGACCCAATCGAGGGTTTCCTTATCGGTAACCGTGGTGACCTGGAGATCTCCTGCGTGGCGCGGGACAGTTTGGGTGATTTTCTCGGATCAATGTTAATCCTGTTGGTAAAGGGACAAACTAAGTCTCTACAGAGAAGGCAGCAAATGAAAAAGAAGGTTTAGGCATGCAGCGAAACAAAACCAAAAAAAACAAATAGCAAACATAAAACATTTTACTGAAACCCTAAAATTATGCAAAGTGGCTAATAACAATAAGTTAATTATCATAAAACACCTTCTACAAATTTCATCCATGAGATGCAGCACGATTCCCTTATCAGGATGAACTCTGGTGTTACGCTGTATTGTGGAAAATATAAATGCAAAAAGGGCAATATGTGTAGCTGACGTTTATTTGAGGGTTAATTCTTATGTTTTTCTGTTGTTGTAGAAGGAAGTTAGAGCCAAGGAAACCATCTGAACTTGCCATAGTTCAGGCATATAAACGGTTCCTGATTCAAACTGAGTAACTCGACAGCATGCTAAGAACCGCTCATTTAATCATGTGCAGAGGATCGAGCTCCTGTTGTCCAGTCTACATGGACCAGTGCTGTGGAGGGGTTAAAGAAGCAATGTCTGATTAGAAAACACATATTAGCATACTGCAGTACACACAGGTCAGATGTTCAGTTACCTGGGCAGTTTGGGGGATTTGCTACCCCTGGATATCTTTGGAGACTTCTTGCCAACCCAGTCATCGCTCAGTTCAATGTCACTGGAGTCTGAGCAGTTACAGCTGTCGATCATAGCCGATATCAGACTGTTACCGTAGATCTCATCTAGGGAGACAAAAAACACACAAAATGAGACGTGAAGAGAACGGAGTTGGTTTAGTTCTCCAGATAAACGTTATTTAATACAACAAATATGTGTGTCAGCTTCTTTCACTGACTAAAATGATCCTAATCTCTTTGTTTCTGACTCGGTGGGAGAACAAATCTGAGATGCTTCACAGAATGTCAGTCTTTTGGTGATTATTATGGTGATGCTGGCGCTGCAGGAGAGACTTTGAAATCTACTTTAACAACCTGCAGACAGGAATCTTCATGATGGTGCTTCAGCAATTTCCCCCCGTTTCTATAAATACACGTTTAAACCCATTCGGTCCAAACCATTGTTCAGCAGGTTTAATTCTTCTCCTGTTCCTCAGTCATATGGAGTCTGTAAACCACTGCCGCTGCTCCAGTTTAGGTCAAGCTAATTTATTTGACGGACATTAAAGTGTGAATGGGCTGGAACCATTTCATGGCTGGCTTCATTTATCACTGCGTGGGGAGGGAGAGGGTTGATTTATGAGGAACCTAGGGGCCATCGGAGCACCCATTAAGCAGCTTTAATTAACATGGGCCCAGTCTGCCCTATGTGACTGAAACACTCACTCTCTGAGTGCCAACTCTAAAACTATGGAAAACTACTGGAGGACGTCAGAAACGAGTCTGGGAGGAATACATGTAGCACTTCTATGAGAGTTTTCTACATCAAGTGTATGTCAGGATTAAATCAGGACTAAAACTATGATGGAGCCACAAATACAACATGTTGGTTGTCTGGAGAGCCACCGGGTACAGGCTGGTCGACGGGGGGCAGTGCCAGCTCAATATGGACACGAATGTGAGAGAAATGCTTGTTGTACGAGTCTAACTTGTTGGTACTTTACTCGTTTAATTGTTTCAGCATCTACACCAAAATGTTGTCACTAGGTTGACCAGATAACCTCAAAGCATTCCAGGTCTTCTTTGTAAAGTTATATGTTTTCTTTAGGTTATAAAGTTCTGTTGATATAAAGAAACCCAGTCCCACCTGTTTTCCCGTCTGTCTTGGGGTCCATAATGACAAACTCTGGCCGCAGTTTGCTTATCCGTCGGCCCTTGAGGATCGGCACCAGACCTCCGAGGTACTCCAGGTACAGAGTATAGCAGGGTCCCCCCACCTCAGGGTTGTCCTCCGTACGCTTCATGGTGCAGTGCAGACGTTCGTTTCCGGCTGTCGGGTAGCTCACAAAATCACGCATGTTGTTTGGGTCGGGGATGGGAGGCTAGAAAAGAACAGTGAAGCTTAAAACCGGCACATCAATGCAACAGCATGTGATTCTAATCTAGTAGACTTTCAGGAAACAGCTCCTTGTGTGTGCACTGACAATACACCCAGTGTTGGGACTCAGCCCTTGCTGGTTCTGTAAATGGCAAACGAAGTGTGTGGTCCGATCCACAGAACACTGGTCCAGCAGCTCCTGTGCACATTTGTGCTTGTGTACTTCACTGGTGTGCACCAGGCAGACATCATGTAAATGTCGTGGAGGCCATTCACAATTATTTTTATGGTTGTAATGGACCTAAATCCCTCCTGCCCCTCGGTACCTTGATGGTGGGGACAAAAGCGGCAGTGACGTAAGAACAGAGGCGTGAAGGCATGGTGAGCTTGGCGACATCTTTCTCCTCCTTTACTGCGGTGGCGATGCCCTGCTGGCAGAGCAGCTGCAGGGTGGCGACACGGTGCTCCACTCGAACAACGTAGAGCGCCGGGCCCGACGCCAGGAACAGGCGAGAGTCCCGGTGACCCCAGCAGAGCGTAGTGATGGGGCGCTGCAGCGTGAAGAGCAGGACACATTGAGAAAGTACACCACGTCTTTGAACAAGGTTAATGTCAAGGATGGAAGACAGATGAAAGTTCAGGTGTGGGGCTCTCTTAAACTTTGCAGCTTTGTTGGGGGTCAAGTCTTTGAATTAACTGTGAGAACAACTTTCTCCTTCAATAACGTTTACAAAGAAGTTCCTCCATGCCTACAGAAGACTGTTCAGTCGACTTGGTCATGGTGCTTCCTCAAACAAAATGCATTTAGTCTTCATTTGAATGTTCTTGTAAAGTTTGAAATGTGACATAAAAGACAGTTTGACATAATTTTCTGTTTGGAACTGTGCTGGTGTGATTCAGTTCGTCTGAATGAATTCTGTGACTTCTTTACAGACACTAGACAGCAGCGTTGGCAAAATTAACTTCAACATACCATTTAAATTAGTCTCTGTTATTACTTTATAGAGCCTAATTCATTAATTAAATGTGGTTTATTGTTGTTGTTTTTCTTTTATGTCTTTATATTGAAAACCCCGTGAGCTTTTGAATTGCCCCGAGGGGATAAATAAAGTTATCTGAATTGAATTAATGTCACATTAGATTACCATTAGAAACGCTGCAGAACCTAACAACAGAATAAACGTTTCCTAGGATGACAGCCAGCTGGTAGGTTTGCTCCAGCCATGGAGGAAGGAGAACAACATTAAGTACCTATAATATGTGAGCACACCTCAGTAACCTAACTGCTGTGGCTACTTGTTTACTGAGAGTCCCTGTAGTGGCTGAAGGTGATCACCTGTGCCGGCGTGTCCAGTGAGTAGATGTGTTCACCCCGCACGTTGTAGAACTTGACAACTGCGTTCCTGGTGGGTGGAGGACAGGAGGTGTCAGGGGAAAGGACTATCCTCTCCATCCCTGCAACCGCAAGCAGATCCCCCTGCGAGCACCACTGGACCACCACATCTACAGCACAGGACACAGAAGAAAGAGTCCTCACCACGTTAGGAACATGAGCACATGCAGCCAGCGCAGACAACACGGAGACATTCCTTCAGACACAATATAGAAAAACATGTAAACAAGTGAGTGGGAGAAGCAATTAAATAAAGAGAGAGACAAAGCTGCTGGGACACGTCGGCATCAGTGAGATTGATGATGAGTCGACCCACACACCTTTCAGACCAGTGTGGATGAGGGTGGGGGAGAGGTCATCGTAGTTGTTCATCAGGCTGATGTCTCCGGAGGTGAAGCTGACTGTCAGCAGTGGTTTCTGGCTGTGCACTGAAGGAGACACAGGACAACACAACGTCTCAGACAGGCAGTGTGGAGGAAACAGAGTGAGGGCAGTTTAAAACACGGACATGGTATCAGCTGTGGACTGTTACACCTATGAACACAACTATCGCTTGCTTGTTTTTAAATTTAAAGCAATGCATGACTGACATCAATAGGTGGCTTTCCACTGCAGGAACTGCAGCTAGTTGTATGGTGGCCCAGCCTTTCTCCTCCACCGCAACGACAACAGAACGGCTGAAAGAAGCGATTAGGGGGCTTCTCCTGTAGATGTTTGTGGTATCTCATATCTGGCCTGAGTTCCTGCCCTGGAGAAGAGCCTAGTGAGTGTCTATACAGGGAGGACTGGTGCAATACCTACACACACCTGTGCACTCAATAGTCCAAGTACAGTTCAGACTAACATCACATAGGGCTGTGGCTGGAATAACACATCAGTCGACAGAATTTTGAAGATTAATTGAGTCTTTTTTTTTTTTTTGTAAGTTATTTTTTTGACCTTTTTGCCTTTATTTGATAGTGCAGTGAGAGAGAGAGACAGGAAAGTGGGGGAGAAGAATGGGGGAAGGACTTGTGAAAAAGGGCCATGAGTGGGATTCAAACTCATGACCCAATTAATTGAGTCTTCAATGTCATCTTCTTAAAGAACACCACCTTTGGTGTATTGGTACGTAGACGGTTAAGTAACAAAACCCTTCACATCATCGCACCACAGACTTGTGCAAAACTGGCCATCAATGCGCTGGACGGCCAGTTTACTGTATTTTACTATAACTAACACATCTTTACAACCAACCGTACAATTCCCCTGAAAAGATCCTTGAATCTCTCCTTTCACACATTCCAGTAATGACCCAAATACCAACACAAACAAAACATCCACCTCTGCTTTTGACTTTCAGCCCAGTAACAGTTACTACATCCCTGTAGCAGGCAGTTTAAAAGCAGAGCTGCATGAGACCAGACGTGTGATGCTGCTATAAATGCAGCGTGTTGCGCCGTGCAGTGCGGTGATAACGGGTCATCATCATGCATCACCAGAAAGAGATGTGGCACGCAGAGGAAGAGGTGAAGTGGCCCGGTGTCTCAGTCTGATCGCTGATCTGAATGATCATTTCTATCAAAGTCAGTCAGTTCTTACTGACTGGTTGACATCAGTCAGAACATAAACATGTCAGTGTCAGGCTACGAGGTTCATCAGCACTAATCAGCCGCAGTGTCTGTTTTCAGGATCAAAATAATCCATCATTTCTCTTCGTATGTCGAGCAAACAAGCGAAACATTCCCTGATTCCAAATGGTAGGATTTACTACGTTTCTGATAGTGAAGTGATTATTTTTAGGGGTTTGGGCCACAGGTGGGTCAAAAACAGTCTGATCATGCAACCTCTGGCTCTTGTACATTACAATGGGCATTTTTTGTTTTTACTATTTTCTTTTTTTATAGACAAAATTATTAATTATTAAACAATTAGTTGTATCCCCAAAGTAAACCCTAAATCTGCCCAAGTACCAGCAGGAATGTAGCACCAGCCTTTATTAATACTGTTCAAGTGATTTAGGAGCACCAGTAAACCCCAGTAGGAATATAACGATGGCAAAGACAGCCATTACACTTTGAGGTGTAAAGAGGAGCGTGGCCTTGAGAGATAATTTCTATCAGGGCCAATCAATTCCTATTGACTGGTTTAATTAGTGAGTTAGAGCATAATCAGTGTTCCAGCTAAGGCAAGCACTTTTCAGCTTTACCACTTGGTCTGTGGTGAAGGGAGGAGGACAGTCCCTCACCAACACAGCCTCAGCAACTGGGAGTAATTAAGGAGAGAAAAGGAGGCAAAAAAACACAACAGGAACCAATAAAAGTGAGCTCATTGCGTGGGCTGGTGTGCACCGTGGAAGCAGCAGGAGGGGATAACCAGATGCAACTAACCCTTGTGAGACAGCTTACATCCCAGTGAACCAGACACTCGTCGTCTAAAGTGGGAAAGAGTTGAAAAGTTTCCATTTCTGAAGCTTCATTAAATGGTTAGCGTCACAAAGTTAGCCTGTGAGATCATGAAGTTAGCTTTCTAAATACTTCAGTCCAACAGTACGTTCTGCTCCAACTAACATGTGCTCTGACAGGCAAAATCACTTGACAAAAAGCAACACACACAGTTTGGATCATCACTGTGCACACACTGGAGAGGATAACCTGTCACCATGATGCCTGTGTCTAGCCAAAAACATGAAGCACTGTTTATAGGTATGAACAGGTAGACAGCTGTATGTGTGCATTATATTATTATATTATCCATAAAACCCCTCTGCTGCCAGGGACACACATCCCCACTGCTACTCTACTTTTACATCATGTTCATACTGGATGTGTATTACTTGTAATTTTCACCTGCCTGCCTGCCAGAGCAGCTACACTTCCAACTCAATCATCTTAACTGAGGCTGTTTTTTGGGGCTACCTTTAGTGTCGGACTGTGTTTAGGTCTACGAGCTCTGTCAGTGTGCTTCTGAGTGCACGGCAGCGCTGTTGTTGAACCTGAATGGATGCAGTGGAGCTGCTGCACGAGAACTTCAGCTGCTGCCGTCGTGCTTCTTCCACCTCGTGGTCAATACAGACGGTTTGTTATTGCAGCTGCTGTGCTAACAAATCATCTCCATACAGTGCAGAGAACGTAGCAGAGCATCGACCGATCACATGACAACTACCTCATGTTTGTATGGAGGCTGAACTGACTGCACTGAGCTTTGGATGGTGTCGGTCGAATGATTGTAATAAACATTCAGACTGATTTAGCTTGGTTAAAGATTACAGCTACCTGACAAGTTCATACATGAAGACAACTGATAGATCTGAACATTTTTGTCAACCAGTCCTGCCAGGTAGTAACGCACGATAGCTGAGATGATCTGATATCAGTCCTATAACCTGGGGACAGGTGTGTGACCAAAAACCCTGCAGTGAAAGAGTGAAATAAGGAGTTCCAGTTTCAGATTTGCCCCAGTTGCAGCCAAGTAATTTTATCCACATGGGCTGTTCTCCATGTGCAGACTTCTCTAGGAGCAGAGCTCGTTTAGATGTCGATACCACAGTCAATCAGGTTTATTTAATTATGGTAGGCCAAAACTGGGATCGCTGTTGGTATTAGTTTAATTTTACAGCCCTAGCGCTGAGTTAGCCTTTGGGGTTGAATGCAGCGGGCTACTTTTTCTTCGTTACTGACTCAGTCGGTATCTCCCAGCCTGTCGCCGCCCTCTGATCATCAGCATGTGTGTCTGAGTCGGACCTCTTCACCAGCATCCTCTTTTCTCTTTCACTTAGTTTTTTATATAGTCAGCTATAAACTGTTCCACTGAAATGCGGTCATAGCTAAATGGATTGTTTCACAAGTCAGGAAGGAGAGAACGACTGAGCCAGGGACAAACAAATGCACTATTTTCAACCACAGTGGCTAATGCAGTAGCTACCTGAGCCAACCAGTGTCTCCAAAACATCCTAATGATCATCATACACTCGCACCAATCTGTGATGTTTTGACTCGCACACAGAAAATGGACCATTCTGTGAGCATTCTGTGAGCATTATGGTGGCAGTCTGGAGCCCTGGTAGAAAGAGAGCTGTGACTTTCCACAAGGGTCCCTGGCCAGAGATTAACCAAGTACACTGCATTTATATGGCACGTAACCTCGTATGTAGGCCACCAGAAAGTCCCCGGAGAGACTGAGGGGGCGTGGACAGGTCCCTGTTCAGAGCTTTGTGTTCAGGTCACACCCTGAGCAGCATACCTTGTGGTGGGGAGTACTCGTCAGAGTCCGTGTCACTCTCACTGCTGTCCTCCACCAGGAAGCTGGGGTAGTTCCAGGACATGCTGACAATACCATCCGACTCATGCAGCAGTATGTGGGCCAACATGCGCCCATGGCAGTCCATCACTATGACCTGACCGTCTGCAGTACCAAACAACACCTGCAAAAGAAACAGTCACAGCTTACTGGAGAAAAAAGACATGAGAATTAATAGGGACACAGACACAAGGACATGTGAAAGCGCTTTATAAATAAACCTATTATTGTTATTATTATTATTATAAAAAAAAGGGAGGCACACTTAGAAAAAGAAAAGGAGACAACAAAGAAGGAAAGCCATGAGAAATGCAGATCACAAATGAAAAACTTGGAGAAATAGACATAAATGGGTTGCATGCAGTGACCCAGGACAGAGACATGTATACGGACTGAAAGCCTGATGATGTCCAACCTGAGCTGACAATTTAGCAGCATGAAAGCAAAAACACAGCCCAACCAAACCAGCGAGACGCTGCAGACAGCCAACGCTTGCTGTCACTCACACATCTCTCAGGGCCTTTCTCTACCTTCTGAATGACAAGTGTACAGACTCAAAGTGGCAAATGAAAGCCTAAAATCTCTACATGTATTAGCACTCAAAGGCTGGCGTAGCGCTCGGGGGAAATGTCCAATCCTTCAAAATGTGTGTTACCTGTTGGTCATCGGGAGTCCAGATGCCACAGGTTATCTGGCTTTCCAGGTTGATCTCGGAGGACCAGTGCCTCTGGCCGCTGACGGAGCCCACCAAGACGAAGCCATCACGATAGGAGATAAGAGCCTGGGTGCCATCATGGGACCAGGTGAAGTCGCTCACCTGCAGTGCACAAGACATGTTACTGAAGAATGAAGTGTTGTCAGTGTCAGGCTGCTCGGTTTACTGACACGAATCAGAAACACTTCCACACAACTCAGCTGAGATGTACAGAACCAGATGTTGACCTACTGTCGGTTCACAGCGAAAAACAAAGTTATTTGACTGATCGAGCCTTTTAAGTAATCAATCAATCAATCAATCAATCAATCAATGATTTTAATGTCATTTTTGAAGTAAAAAATATTCCACAATGTCACACGTCTTTGTCAGTGACATCATGTGATGTCAGAGTGACTGTCTGCAGGTTTTAACTGTAGGCTGGATTAAAACAAATGAACATGCTCCCTCAGGCTTTAAGAACTATAAAAGGACATCGTCTGAAAGTTTTCTCCTTCATAGACCAAATGATGAATTATTAAACAGATCATTTGTGACAGCCTGAAAGTAAGCAACCTAAAACTAACTATATGCAAGAATGAGAAAGTGCTCCTTAATAACAGCGTTCAGGTGTTTGAGGTGACTCAGTGCTCGCCAGCAGCAGGAATAACAACAGTAATAATAATAATTATAATAGCTGAGACAGTGGTTTAGCTGTGGAGATGGACACGGGCTCTTGGAGCTATTTGTAAGACATTTACATTCATCCGTCTTCTTTAAATTCTTTGGTTTTCCAGGTACTGTCAGAATTTGCCAGAATACGGTGAATTAAAACACCCGCCATCCTGCAGACCGTTCACAGTGAAAGTATCTCCACTGCCTGATGACTGCCTCCGGGCTCGTCGGTATAAATTTAAACACTTAGGTGTAATAAAGCCTTAACCTCCAGGGGAAAAAAGCAGGCGTTGCTGTGAAAAACAGAGGCCACGATAAAATGACGATATTGTTCCGACTGTCATCTAGAGACTAAATTGATCGCAGAAGATAAGAAGCTGTCAGGATCTGTCAAACTGGGCTCGGCAGATGACAGTGACTGACTGATCGGGCCTACACATCAGCCATGTTTGATCCGCCTCGTGTTAAATCAGCAAGTGGAAGGTCAGGAGAACGACAGAAAACCCTCTGACTGGTTTCTCAGCTAAGAAATGTTGGAGTTAAATCGCTCAGTCGGTCACCAAACGGTGGGAATGTGCAAGAACTATTGTTAACTTAAGAACGTTTTTGTAAATGACTGTTAGGTTTAAACATATAATATCTGCTGCTGCTGCTCGTTTTGCTCCCACTAACGTTCTGTGCAGAGCGTCTACGAGCTATTTATACACACTGCATTATATTTTCATGAATGCCATTTTTATTTCTGTACATTCTGTGTCGGTGCAAGTACATGAGTAAAAACACCCTTTAAGTCATTGTCTTGCCTTCTGTGCACTTCCTGCCTCTTACCTGAGCTCCACGGTCATTGACCAGCTCCACAGACCAGCGACCCTCATACTGGATCCAAACAAAAATCCCTCCATCGGTGTCACAGGTGGCCAGTTTCTGGAAGGGCTCGTTCCACCGCACCAGCACCACCTGTAGGTGGGGGTAGGGACAAAAATGATTAGACAGACTATCTGGGTCCTTTTGACAGCCATTACTCAGTGGGAGAGAATAGAATAGAATAGAATACAATGCTTTTATCGTCATCATACACAAAGTGCAACGACATTAAAAACAAGTAAATGAACTAATTCTAGACGGTGCTGTGTGAGCTTCCATGTGGCCTTCCAGCTCTGTGTCCTCCTACCTACAACAGATAATGTGAGATAATCAAGAACAAAGAGCCTCGTCAAAGTGCCCTTGATTACGCACGGAGCTCTGGCCTGCACACGCTTTCTGAGACTCACTCTGAACGCATCAGCTGAACGCCGAAAATTCAGAAAGTCACATCCAAGTTCCCACATTTCAATGAGCTAAATTTAGCATCAAGCTCGATGGAAATAAATCACAAAGTGGGTTAACCTCATTCTGAAAAAGTCACGGAGGAGTGAATCTTCTACATTTTACAGATGATGAGAATCAGTTCCACCATCACCTGTCTGACTGTTTTCTATCCGTGTCATTTTAAACATGGAAATGTCCAACTTGTCCTGCTTGTTTGAAACTTGACGCTGCGATTAGCAAGCAGCTGGTTTTATGTATGTTTCAATGCACACATTATTATTCTGTTCTTATTTGATGCATTTCATTTGTTCAGATATGTGTTTTGCAGCATAACATCACAGAAAGACAAAGCAGCAGTAAGAGGGGGGAAGTGAAGGGATCGGTTAAGTGCATTAGCATCCCTACAGAAGACACCATACTGTGGTTTAAAGCGTCGCCTCATACAGTAGAGTGTAACGGCAAAGAGGAATGGATGTCTGTGTTTATCCTGAGGTCACTGGATGTACAGATGGATCCTCACTGGCAAAAGGCAGGAGCTCCAGAGGAGGAGGGCATTAAAACTGCCACAGAGATGCATTTGATCAAACTGCATGTAAGCAGCTCCTTGGTCAGTGTCACCCATTAGAGTCTGGATCCAGCCCCCTCCTCTCTGTCTGGTCCTCTGTAGCGTGACTCAGCCTCCTCCCAGAGGAATAATCCTAAGAAGGGAGCAGCTCTGCTCTCACTGAGGGAAGCACGTGGGCTGAACACGCTCAAACACACAACACAGGGCAGGTTTTAGTGGGGCTTACACTCTTACAGTGCAAGTCCAATAGATCAGGGGCTGAGGGCTGGATAAGCCAGCCAGTCCTGCTCTTTTTTCCCCAAACAGCAACATCTCCTCTTTACCCTTGCACAACACACTCACTAATCTGTCCAGGACACAGGTGTCACTAGCTGTGTGTTCATGAGATGGTCTGGATTCCCTCTGAGAAGAGACGGGTCCAGAAAAACTGTGGAAACCAAACCTCATCAGTCCATCTTACAACAATATCTTCACACACTAATGCTGTTTGCTTAGTTAAAGGTGGCATTAGCAAACAGAATAGAACAGAATAGAATAGAATAGAATAGACTTTATTTATCCCAGACATGAGAAATTTACACGCCACCGCAGCATCCAGAATATCGAAGGTACAAGAAAATAACAATAATTAAGTAATAAGCATCCCGGTATCTGCACACAGCAGGTCCAAGGCCCGACCGTCCACATGCTGGCTGAATGTGGGGAGAGCAGTAGAGAGCGATGTGTGGTTAAAGTCTCCTGAGATGGAGACCAGAGACTGAGGGTGTGATGTTTGCAGAAACCATCTCATTTAAGAATTGTTGTACATAAAGAGAACATTCTCTACCAGAACTGATTAAAATGTTCAGGACGCTACTCTGTCAGCTAAGTCATAGGAAAAGTGATTTTGTTTTGAATAATATCTACTGATAAGCTGATGAAGCGGGGACAGATAGCAGCAGAACTACGTCATACATGCACAGCCACACATGTCATGAGCGGGCATCGTCTCTAACCAAACCGATAACCGGTTCAGCTCAGCACACGGCTGACATGTCACACTATCGCTTTGCAATGCGCTCTCTAAAGCAGAATCTGTCTTTATTAAATAAACTAAAGGAAAAAACTTGGGAGCAAAGGTGATAAATAGCAATGCTGAAGCGACTCAAGTCACCAATCATTTTTATTCAGCAATTCCCTGTTTGTCACTGTCGTCTGTATTATTAAATAGTTCTCCCAGGTGAACCTGAAGTCATCTGTGTCACACAAACATGTTTATGTGAACACACAATGTGTAGCCCTCAAGCATAATGAGTGTACAGACACATTAATCACTCCACTCAGCAGTGGGTTGTCCTGTGAGCCAGATTTAGTGTGTTTTCAGTCCCTCATCTAGTGGTATATATCCTAATGTTGCTCTATACGTGTGTCTCAGCTGGCAAGCCGCAGGGAAGAGGACGCAATGAGAACCAGTCCAATGCAGGTCTCCAGCAAAGGTCTCTATGTCATTCTGAGTTGACCATATTCACGGACCATTAAAAACAGCCTGCCATCTATCATTCAGGCACAGCAATCACTCATGCAGCAGCACTCACTGGGTGCAAAGCTAACAGGCTTCTGCAGCAGTGTTGTCAAAGATAACAAATTTCCATGCACAAGGATCTCATTGGGGGAACACAAATCCTTGTTGTTGCTCCGTCCGTGGACTGTCTGCAACCTCGGATGATCAAAACCGATTTTCCGGATGGTATTATACAACAAAATTCAACCGGTTGCATTGAGGATTTAGATTAGGTATGAGCTCAGGTTGCATAATTCTAACCTCATTCATACACGAACAAAAACAGGGTCAAAAGAAAAACCCCTGCAGAACAAATCAGCATACAGTTTACACATGTTGTGTCTCACGTGTACGCACTTAGCTGCAGCCCCACAGAGGTGAGAATAAACTGTGTATGTCAGTAAATTTAGCTCTGTGTGGGGATTAGTGTGAGCTGGTCAGGCATCCTGCGAGGGGGACAGCTGAGCACCTCGCTGTGACGCAGCAACCCGGGAGATCACACGTCACATGGAGACGGACAGGAAGAGGGCGAGAAGCCACAGGGCAGCGAGGGGCCAGAGGATCACAACACACACACACAAGCACACACACACACACACAGGCACACACAGGCACACACAGGCACACACACACAGGCACACACACACACACACACACACACACACACACACGCATACAAACTTCTTCTGAAAGAGCAAAATATTGATGAAGAGTTCTTTTGAATTGTCACACGCTGAATGGCCAAACAGAAAATGATTAATGTGCTCAACCACCTATTTAAAGAACTTGGGAATGAAATTCAACACAACACAAATGCATAAAACTACACACAGGCTTGACTGTAGCTCGGCAAGCATCACCTCATCCTAACCAATACTGGGTCAGGAAAAAAAAAACGTTTTCAGGTCCTTAGATTTTGCACGTGGTCACCGACAACCTCTGCTTGGGAACTTGGCACCTTCTTCACTCCTGCGGTGTTTTGCTGTTGTCATTCCAGCCCTGACCTCTTGCTGGGGCTTAACAAGCGTCTCTACAGAAGCACAGCGTGAGCAGCAGCAGCTCTGGTCCTCTCTGTGTTTACATGGGAGGCGTTCAGGCACAGCATTGATCTGTACGTCAGCTGTTTTGGAAGTGCACAAAGCGCGCTTTACTAGAAGTGAGGGTGTAGACCGCTGGATTGATTAAAACAGGAGAGTGTCAGTTCCATCAGATACATGGAGACAGACAGGATAAGGGTGAGATGATACCACTGACAGACATGGTTGAAACTACATCTATGTAGACACACTAATGGCTGTAAAATGTGTCATGCTCCAGAGTGTCTACACAGATCTCCTGCATCCTTTCTTATTTTGCATAGCTCAGTCATTGTGTATTGGGTCTGAGCGCTGAATGCTACACCTGAATGCCTCCTGTGCACACACAGATGGTGCATTGGAGCTGCTGCTCTGCTAGCAAGCTGTTCACCCTACACATTCTGTGTAGACACAGTTGTCAGAACTGGGCACAGAGCTGACCCTTGCAACTTGACTGAGAAGACCAAATCAAATCAAGGGACAGCTTTGGGTTGCACTGGAGTCAGCAGAACTGAGAGGACGCCGTGACAGTGCAGTGTCACAGTGGCGCGATGGCGAGGACGACTTCATGACAACACTGGTCCGTGGAACAACTTTATTTTTGAACAGAATTTTCAAGGAAAGGTTCGTCTTGGACATAAGCAAACAAAAGCAAAAAATAACACAATTCTAGAGATTAGCTTAGCTCCACTTCTGTCTGTTTGTTGTCCTCGATGTAAAATTGAATTTGCAGCACGTCGATAACAACCACATAAAATGTAATAGTAGTTATAAAAGGTTATTTAATTATGTTGTTATCTCGACCACACAGCTATGCCAGCTATAGTTTCAGGTGCTGAGATTTCCTGAGTGTCGAGTCAATAATCATCAGGAGGTCAAAACGACCTGGTCGACGATGAAACCAGGCACACAACGAGCAGCAAGGAGACGCTTCCCTTTCCCTCCACAAACTCTTCCACCTCTTCTCATTCTGGGGTGCTGACATTACTTTGAATCTGACGCAAAACTCAATTTAAAAAAAACGCTGTGCTGATACAAAACCACGGAGGTCTGGATGAGCAAAGTGGGGCAACAGGAGCTTCTGGAGGAAGTACAATCTGAGATGTTTATGAGTACTGTGATAAAACCTTAATCAATATTAATACCTGATAACAGCATTAATGTTGGAGATGACAGCTTGTATCAGCAGGTAAACTGTGAGCTGTCTTGTTGATTTTGTTTTTAAAAGCTGATAAAACAAGTGTGTTAAGAATCAGTATGATGACCAACAACAGCGATGATTCAACATTTCATATGCACATCGTCTGGTAATAATGAGTGAACGGGTAACAAGGTACCGTCTTAATAATACGCACACATCCATCCATCCATCATCTCTACACCTTCATCCTCACTAGGGTCATGGGGGGCGGAGCCTATCCCGCTGACTCAGGGTGAAGGCAGGTTCACCTGGACAGGTAACCAGTCT